AGTGATCGACAAGCTGCATATTTAATTAGTAAATCCATTTGACCCCCCTGATTCCGGAAATGACCAGTGACTGATATACTTTAATGATGACAACATTATGGTCATTGACGGCGCACGTGACAAACTTTGAATTTGAAAACGTTAGTATTTTAAATTAAAATTTTATTTTGTACAATTTTCAATAAAACAAATATATATATATGAGATCGATCTTGGAATAAATCAAGTAATTGCCTAATCCTTTTCATCAAACTTTTCGATCCTAAACTTCTTAATAACTCCCAAAGTTTTAAATTTCTCAATTATTTGAATATTCTCTTCATTTACATCTAAACCATAATCATCATCATAATTTTCAATAATCAAAGTTAATGGTTTTTGCGGTATTCGATTACTCCAACTTTTTAAAAAGGACCTTAAATCTCTCGGAAGTAATTCTGATTGTACACGATTATGTATCTTCAATTCATGAAAACTTTTTGGTGAATGTTTTGCAAAGACCTCCAACATTTCTTTTTCATTGATATAATTTCCACCACGCCAAATTTTAATACTTTCTAAATGTTGACAATTATAGAATATGGATTTTAATAAATTCAACTCATTATTTTTAAATATTATGTAAAGATTTTTAAGATTTGGACAAAATCGTGCAATGGATAATTTTAATGATTTGTTAATACTATCTATGTACAATTCATTAAGGTGCTTTCCATTGTTCTCTAAAAATTTGACCAAAAGATCATCCCTCATAATTTCACTAAAGATAATGTATGCTGGATCAAAGAAGGTAGAGATTCTCAAGGACCGTAGTTTGGGAATTGTAACATATTGTAATTCATTAAAAATTTGATTAGAATTCGGAACGACAAGTTCTTTTAAATTTTTAAACAAATTGATAAATGTCAAGGGTATGATATCACCATGAATATGTAATGTTGTTAACGTTTTAGAATGCTTTTCTAAGGCTGGTATAATTTCAATCCAAGCTTGGCTATTGGAGGCGGATAATTCTAAATGTTCCAAGTTTCTTTGTAATGAGATTAATTCTTTTAACCCCTTTGAAACGTTGTTTCTAAATATTATACTTAATGTTCGTATATTACGACATATTTGAGAGAATTGATAAAAGAATTCAGATCCAATATCTGAATCACAAATCAACAATGATAGATCTGTTAAACAATCCTTTGCTCCAGGGAAATAAATGAAGGGTACATTTTGAACTTTTTCTAATAATTCTAAACCATAATCCAAGGATTTTAGGGATGAAACATGATTCATAAAAGCCTTTAATAATTCTTGTGATAGCAGGTATTTGTTGTAGTTTAAGCTTCGGGAAGTGTCGATTCGTTGATTTGTTAAAGATTCGTCAATAATTTGATTGATTTTACGAATTGAAAGGACTTCGCTAAATGATATATAATTAAATAATGGCGGTTTCGAGGTAGGTGTTGGAATAAAAATTCCGTTTGCGTATAAGAGGTCTCTTGATTCATCGGGTAGGCAAGCAATTAAAGTACCAAGGATTGCTGACGGAACATGTGTCTGGTAAGGTTTGGAAAGTAAATTATATCGAAAGCCCCAAATATTTCTCCATAAAATTTTAACTGACGTTTGACACCAAAGATGATTAACTAGTAAGTATGAATGTAAAGATATCTTGTCATTTTCAAAATATTCAAGAACGTTATTTAAGCATTTTGCAGAAAGTTGTTGACAAGTCATTTTCCTTTTTAAAAAAAGGGAAAAAAATTGGCAGGCTTTTAAATGGTTGATGTAACGTTGATCGTTGATCGTGTACCGTTGTTCAAATTAAAGCCACCAGACAAATTTAATAATTTGAATAATTTGTGAAACGGTAAACCGTAACGTGGTTAACTGGTAACGGTAATTTTGTCCATAACTTTTATTACATAATACTGGAGGAACTGCCCTTTAATACTGAGGAACAGTTAATAAACATAAGGTATATTTTGTTTATGTCGCTTTTAATTTTACAATTTATCGTATTTATTTTCTAATAAATTAAAGATAGCCCATATTATGCCAGTACGCAAGTGAGCTTGCAGTAAAGTCAATTCAACAAATTATGAACTATTGAAGAATTCAAGTCACATACATACAGGGTAATAAATCCCAATCAGAGTCTTAAAAGGATAAAATTTACGAGTTCTCAAACTTATATCATGGGAGTAATGAAAGCGATATGTTGAATTGGAGGGTTTATATTAAATTCTTTTAATAGGACATGATTTAGAGAGACCCATTAATTTTGTCATCAATTACATTTCTAAAAATGGAATGTTTCTCTTGAGGAGTGTCGGAATCTTGGAATGTTTGCAAGGTATATTTCTGATTATATATATTATATTCTTTTGTCGTTCGATAAATAAGAAATGATACTGATTCAGTGACAATAGATATAATATTAGTTGACAATTTGTGAACCATTTTTGTTTAATCAATGTAAAGTAAGAAAATCTTTTAGAAGTTTTTTTATGAAAGATTGAAGTGAGGTAATTATCAAAATTTATGAAAAATAAAAAAAAAAAAATTATTTTCTTTAAAAATTTTAATTCTTGATCGAGTTTGAGCGAATCTCAAGAAGCTGATTTCAACCTTTGCATTGTAATCTGATTTCCAAGCATTACTTTAAGTGACCCACCTCAACCAAAAATGCCCAATAAATTTCTATACCCAAAATCATTAATCAAATGTCCTAATTGCAAGTATACTGATCGATCCTTAATATGTATAATATCTATCATACCCGCAAATTTTAAAATTTAGTCATTATAAATTCGACTTTAATTTACAGAAGTAAGTAACCACTACTTAAGAAAGTTACTTTCGTGATCGTCTTTTACTAAATAATCTGGAAACTTAAAATTTTATTAATTTAGATTATTTTGTACAGTACCTTTATTATAACTTGAATTAAAGTTACTTATAAGTTATACAAAACAAATTAGTATTAATAAAAGGGGATAGGAAATGACTATATAGGGGTCAAATATATATAGATTTTTTTCTTATATGCTTTTTTTTTTTTTATCTGTATAAATTTTTAAACAATTTTAATTTAACTTTTTTATTTAAAGAATAGTAAAAGTCTTTATAAATTAAATATAAAATTTTTATAGTTTTCAATAGTTTAGTATAATTTAAATTTAATATTAATATAAAAAAGTATTTATTAACAGATTTATAAGTTTTATTAATCTATTAAATTTATATATTAATAAATATTTTTAAATAAATATTTAAATTTATAAATAATTTGATGTAAAAGTTTTTAAAGAAAAAAGCTTAAAAATAATATTATAATAAATATTAAGATATATAAAATAAAATAATATTTTTTATTTACAATTAATATTTAATTAAAATAATATTTATAAAAAAAAAATATTAAATATGAACTAAAATAATTTTATTAATATCATAAAATAAATTATCTTTTACATTATTTTAATATAATTATTAATTTTATATTAATGTTAATATTTAATAATTTTAAAATATAAATAATAATTAATAAAAAATATAAATTTAAATTTTTGATAAAATATTTTAATCTACTTGACTAGTTATAGTTATGTATTTAAAATTAGTTTAAAAATTAAAATTAACAAAATTTTTGGATATTTTTCTTTTTTATTAATATTATAGAGTTAATAATTTATAAAATATAATATTATGTGATTTTATTAATAAAGAGAAACATTATAAAAAAATTATAATATTAAATAATCAGAAAATAACTAATTGAATAGAAAGCCATAACAATAAATAATTAACTAAAATCATATTATATAGAAAATAAAAAATATAAAAAACAAATAGATAATTATTATTAAACAAAAAGTAAATAATTTATTGTAAAGAAAAAAAAATAAAAATTAATAATAAATTTAAAATAAAGAGAAGAAAATGAAAATAACTATAAATTTATAAAAAGATTATATAGAAGTTTAAATAAGAAAACTAAAAAATAAAATCATAAATTAAATAATACTAAAAAAGTAAATTAGTAGAAATAATGAAGTAAAATTATTATTTATAAAAGATTAATAATATCTATTATATAAAATTATAGAAAAATGAAAGAATTATAAAATCCTTATTAGAAATTAAATATCTGAAAAAAAATATTTAAATAAAGAATTGAAAAATTAAAATGATATAATAATCTATAAAAAAGAAAAGAGTTAGAAAAATTTGAAAATTAAAATGATCTATAAAATTGATCAACATTAATTATTATAAATAGAAATAGTATTTTATCTTATAAAATTAATTAAAAATTAGCGTTTCTAGTTCAATTGGTAATAATTAAGCTCCTATTGTAGGTTATACTGTGATAGCTACAGATTCAAATCTCAGTAAAAGCATAAAACTAGATAATTTTTATAAGAATTTCATATGTAATTGAATACATAAGCGTATATACTAATATGCATTAAAAACTGATTGATCAATTTATCAATTGATATTAATTATACTTAAATACTAGATTTAAAGAATAAGTAAATGTAAATAAAGTCAAAAATCAACAAAAACTTAGCCTTTGCTAATAGATCTGTAATGAATACTATTTTACGTCTTTAAATTCAGATGCCTTTATACAAATAAGAAAGTGATTAACCAGTAATTAGTAAATTGAATACTATATTAAGGTCAAAGTATCTCATATAGCTATAGTGATAATAGACTGCATTATACTGTTACAGTATCATTCAATCAAACTGTCACTAGGGTAGAGGTCAGATTCAATTTTCAAGTGAATTTGATGATATAGATACAACAGCCACCTACCTTTTTAAGATTTTATAAAAGATAATAATGTCTAAGCCTTTCTAATTATGTATAAAATACACTGATATTAAGTAAAGGTAATAGTGATTCAGATATGATATTGGTAAGTACAGAAAAATAAGTGACGTAAGTACCTGTGGCTGAAAGTAATCTCTTTATCCAAATTTAACAGTGATTCTAAAGTTTTAGGAATCCTGAGGGTTAGCTCTTAAGGGTGTTAACTTAAGTAGCAGACCTTAGACCAGTATTATCAGATGAATTCTGATTAGCAATGTTTAATCACAATCTTAAAGATTCTAGGATAAATCACTGGGTATTTATATATTCAAAATATACTATTACTATATAATATTCTAATATTTGAATACTAAAATTTAAAAAAAAAAAAATCTTATAAAATTAATTTATAATTATATAGAAATATTTCTAGGAAAATCAGGTTCTGAGAAATTTTTGACTAAAATTAAGAGCTTAATATATTTTAATCTAATAATATCAAAAACTAAAATACAATAAAAATCTCAATTTTACTAAAAAATTCCTGAAATCTGATTTTTCTAGCAATCAATCTATATAACTTTGTAATAAATAAGATTTTAAATAATAAAATGTAATTATTCTTTTAATAATATATTAAACTTAATAAATTAAACTCTTTAAAATATTAAAATTAATAAATAATATTATCCCTTTAAGCAATTTGTAAACAAATTTGCCTGCAGTTTTATTTAATAATTAAAATTATTTATAATAATTTTATATATTTTTAAAATAATTTATTTAAAAATTAATATTTTTATAATAAATTTTATAATATTTTCTAAATAAAAATTCAAAATAAATGTAATAATTAGGAATATTTTAAAGATAAATATATGATTTATGAAAAAAATTAAATTTTTAAACTTATATATTTTACTATCTATTAATCTCAAAAATATGAAAATATAATAATTTAATAGGTTTTAATGAGACAAATCCAACAAATTAAATTTTATTTTTTTGTAATTATTTTTTTTAAAAATGCGGTAATTCTTATATTTATTATAAAAATTAAAATCCAGTATGTTAATATATGAAAATTCTAAAAATCAGATACAAAAGTAGAAAAAATAAATTGAAGTACCTAAAATATCCTTACAAATTAAAAATTTACTAGCCCTATACTAATTAGTCATCCTGCTATATTTTGAAGATAATTATTAATAGAGTCTCTATCAATATATAATAATTCAATTATTACTACACTCCTCTCTTTTGCTTAACAATAATTTCTATCCTAAATTTAAATTTACAGTAATACAAAAACAAGTAACTTGAACTATTATTAAATAAAAAAACTAATAAAAAATTCTAACTCTAATAAGTTTCTAGCTAAATTACCTTATTAATTTCTGGTTACAGTGACTTTCTAGTACAGGAGTACCTATATCACTAAGCTCTATCAGAGGATTTTTGATACTCTTAAACTTTATGCTAAAATGTTTATCAATTTAAATTATAACTACTAGCAGGCATTGCATAGAGCTCAAATCATACAGTTATGAAAAATTAAAAAATTCTGCTAAAATCAGTAAACTTTGTGACGTCAGAGATCTAAAAAAATATGCTTATTTAGAAGATAATGGAAAAATCATTATGTGTGATTTGTTAATCTAAAGTTGTTATTGATCTTAATCATTATTTAGGATATCTCCTAATACTCACTTTTGTAAGCAAAAAGAAAAAGAGAAAAAATAGCTATAAAAAGTAGTGAAAAAAATATTTTAATAAAAAAATACTACTGTTTAGATTAATAAAAACTGTTTTTTTTTGAAATAAGAGGATTTGGAAAAAACAGAGAGAAAGAAGTTTGAAAAAAAAGTTTTATTTTTTACTTACAAGCTAAGCTATGACTACTCTTAAAT